CAGGGGAAAAAATGAAAGTGAAGATAGAAGGAAACACATCCTTTTTTATATTGATGACCTTGATAAGGACATCAGCAGCAAAATACTTATCAATTGCTTCATCCTCGACAGTGCTTTGATTTATATATTTATTGATACATTATTCCATAAGCTTGAAAAATGTTTTTTTTCTAATTATGTTTTTCACTTTTTGTAACTCTGTTTCTACTGCTGGTGCCATTCAAATGGTTAAACATTAATGAATGTAACGTATTGCCATTCTGGTATCCCCCTGCACTTTGCACTGTCAATAGTTTTCACTGTTAGCAATAACTTGGTTCAGCAGACTCTGGCAATTCTACTGTGATTACTGCTATTCTAACTATGATTGGACTTGAATTTGAGTTACTTTAATTATGGTAGTTATGGTATCATACTTGGCCTCCCTTGTCTAGTCAGGTTGCACAACTTAACTTAGGATAGGACTTGAATAGTCTTAAGCTCACACTCACTGGGCTGGGAGTGTTGTGAGCCTGGTCTGACACTGTTGCTCATTCAACTTGAATGGATGCACTTCTGTTCTTTTGTGCCAGAATTCTTTCTGGATAAGAGCACCTGCTAAATGAATGTGATGTAAATGTGATGTAGATGTACTGACACTACCTCAGCTCAATACTGCACAACAGTTAACACCATCCTGTATCTATGGTAGTTACCCTGACATAGCATGCAATATTTTGGTAATGCCCAGCTCTGATACTAATTTTACTGTAACTGTCACTTTGCACTTCAGTTCTGTGTAAGGCCTCGGGGGGATGTTTAAGTGATTGAAACTTACACAGCAAGCACCACACTTATCATATTACTAACTCCTCATCCTGAGTTTTAAAGTGTGATCAAGTTAGGATATACTACTGAATAATACAAATCAAAAAAAAACTGCATCATGTGCACATAACTGCACTCTGGATGTGTGACGGCATGCAAAAGAAGTCAAATTCACATGACATGACTTCCTCTTTCCTTCTAACTCCATTGCTTGTAGCGGCACCAGCCCTTTCAGGAGGACTGGGAGATTTCCATCTGATGCTGGGGAAAACGAAATCCACGACCCCAGATTCACATGATGCGGGGCACTGAAAGCTGTCGTGTTCTGCACGTAACGCATCAGTTGAGAGCGAGTGTGCAAGAAGGGGACTGTTTCCTCTTTCGGCCGATTTCCCCCCACTGCACCGCTGTACGTGTGGCGTCTGCAGCTTTCATTTTCGCAAATGGAACACAGACCCCGTGGAAACTTCAGTCTTGTGATAGAGCAGGAGTGGAAAAAGCCCCCCGCCCTCCCAGTTGCTGAGAAACAGCACAGCAGTTGCTTTCTGCAGCTGAACAGTTCTCAATGCTAATGTTTCATTAGCTCAGTAATTAGCTTATTCAGTTTCTTAGCTCTGACACCTAATTAGGTGTGGTCGCATGTGAAAATAGTTCTTTGGGGTGGTTGGTAGCGTGGCAGTATGTTGGTTAAACGTTCCAGTGTGATTTGGTGCAGACCATTAAATTGTATTCTGTAATTAATGATGATAACTGCTGAAATACCTTTTGTGTTATGTGCATCATCTGTTCTAAATATATCACTCTTACAGCCCCAGTATTTGGGTGGTAAAAAAACTATATTTTAATATCAATGTTACCAACATACATAAAATGCTTGATGAAATATTTCCCAGTCACCCACATTCACACATCTTGAAGAGAATTATGCATGGAAGGGAAAGAAATATAAAAAGAATAAACTAAATAAACAAATAATAATTAGGAAATGCTTAATAGGCATTACAGTATATCAGTTTTTCATCTCATTGGATGTACACTAAAAAAAAAAAATCAACAGGTGATTGATTCCACAATAAAGATTTTGCCAGCTGAATACGGACGTGAGGGTTACTTGCATAGCAATTACTCAGAGTAATCAGTTTCCATAGGAAAAAGTATATTAATATGAGCGATTAAAAAAATATACAACCAAACTTTTTTTTTTAACATAGATGTGTTTCCATCCTCAAACCACCACGGACAAACAAAACAGCCATACAACAGCATGATGACAAAACCCGTTTCTGTACACTTACATACCTACAGAATACGCGCATATTCACACACAGCTTGATATCCCAGCATGCATCAGTGTCTGGTGAGCACCTCCCGGATGTGTGAAATGGGCACCAGCTTAATGCACTCTCTCTCTCAGCACATAACACCGTCGCTAGTGCCAATGACTCTGGGTCTCTGTGTGCTAAACTACAGACCAGGAACCCTGGACACAGTCCCAGCTCAGAGGTGCTGGCATCAGCTCAGCCTCGGACCCTGAGCATTTCAGTAGTCCCTTCTGTCCCTTTGCAAGTAAAGCTGGCGGCTGAGGGGGAGGGCCTTAGCCGTACTCTGAGGTCGGGGGTCCTCGCACGATGTTGTAGTAGCCCGCCAGAGCGCCCAGGTCGACGTACAGGGATCCTCTTCTCCTGAGGTGGGCGGAGTCGTCGCTGCTGTACAGGGAAGACTCTGTAAAAGAGGAGGCAGAGGTTAGCGGCGGCCCATCTGACACGGTTCTGCAGTACAGTGGTGGGTCTGCCGTGCGTCTGGCCAAAACAGCTAACATCTGATGACACAAACTCTCCACCCACTCAACAAACCAGCCTCCCTGGACCCGTGCGAACGAGGAGGGAACCGCTCTCGCGGTTTATGGTTTTGTGGTTCCCCTTTTTCTGCCTGCCTGTTTCAGGATCGCTTTTAGAGGGGTTTGTTTAAGACAGGCACATTCTGGGGCACCCGCACTGTGAAGGGGAAGAGGGGCTGGCAAACACTGGCCGTCAGCTGAGAGAGAGGGTCATGGGAATGCAGCCTGGAACCCTCCCCCACCCCCCACCACCACCACCTCCCACACACACACACACACACACACACACACACACACACACCCACCACTGTATCTTTCTCCATGGTCACAAACACTGCAACGGCTTTTAAGTCTGAGCTAATATTTCACGCAGTGGAACATTCTGATAGAGTCGACCAAAAAAGATAAGCGGCGGAACATGATGGTGTCAGTCTTGACAACACATAACAGTAATAGAACAACAGAAGCAGACAGAAATAGACTTCCCTCAAGGGAAGGAATGCAGGCAAAACCTCGACCAACCAGCTCACTACAATGGCGCCTTTTATTTACTATGACGGTGTACATAGGAAAATTGCAGATACAGTGTTACGCTGTTGTAACGACTGTTTAATGCAATCTGACACAGAGAAACAGCTCATGATCAGTGTATGAATATATTTTACTTCCTAGCATAATCAGAAGATCCTATATGTGAATGCGCATTTGTATGGCTGTCTGTGTGTACATGCATGCATTTGTGTGAGTGTCTATTTGTGTTGGTGTCCATTTGTGGGTCTGTGTATCTGTGCATATGTTTGTGTAAGATCTGTGTTTATAGGAGCCTAACTGTGTCTCTATCTCTCTGTTCGTATGTGTGTGTTTGACTGCATGTATACATATGTGTGTCTGTATCTGTCTGTGTGCACATATTTATGTGTGTATTGAATATATGTGTACGTATCAGTTTCTGCATATATACTGAATACGTGTGTGCATATCAGCCTCTGTGTATACACTGAACACGAGTGTGCATATCAATTTCTGTGTACTGAATATGTGTGCATGTTTCTGTCTCTGTGTGCATATTATGTAGGTGTGCGTGCATCAGTCTCTGTGTGCTTACTGAATATGAGTGCATGTCTCTGTCTCTGTGTGTGTACTATACATGAGTGTATGTCTCCGTCTCAGTACTGAATACGTGTGTACATATCAGTCTGTGTGTGTGTGTGCTGAGTATATGTGCACATGTCAGTCTGTGTGTGTGTGCTGTATATGTGTGTGCAGGTCTCTGTCTCAGTACTGAATACGTGTGTGCGCATCAGTCTGTGTGTGTGCTGTATATGTGTGTGCAGGTCTCTGTCTCAGTACTGAATACGTGTGTACACATCAGTCTGTGTGTGTGTGCTGTATATGTGTGTGCAGGTCTCTGTCTCGGTACTGAATACGTGTGTACGCATCAGTCTGTGTGTGTGCTGTCTATGTGCGTGCAGGTCTCTGTCTCAGTACTGAATACGTGTGTGCGCATCAGTCTGTGTGTGTGTGCTGTATATGTGTGTGCAGGTCTCTGTCTCGGTACTGAATACGTGTGTGCGCATCAGTCTGTGTGTGTGCTGTATATGTGTGTGCAGGTCTCTGTCTCAGTACTGAATGTGTGTGCAGGTCGTGTGAATGCGCATCAGTCTGTGTGTGTGTGCTGTATATGTGTGTGCAGGTCTCTGTCTCAGTACTGAATACGTGTGTGCGCATCAGTCTGTGTGTGTGCTGTATGTGTGTGCAGTGCTCTGTCTCGGTAGTCTGTGTGTGTGCTGTATATGTGTGTGCAGGTCTCTGTCTCGTGAATACTGAATACGTGTGTGTGCTGTATATGTGGTGCAGGTCGCATCAGTCTGTGTGTGTGCTGTATATGTGTGTGCAGGTCTGTCTCGGTACTGAATACGTGTGTGCGCATCAGTCTGTGTGTGTGTGCTGTCTATGTGTGTGCAGGTCTCTGTCTCAGTACTGAATACGTGTGTGCACATGTCAGTCTGTGTGTGTGTGCTGTCTATGTGCGTGCAGGTCTGTCTCGGTACCCACCCTGCGTGGTGTCGGGCAGCTGGCTGTGCTGCCGCAGCAATGGGTGGGAGCTCTCCCCCAGGGCGGAGTCCAGGCTCCAGCAGCGGGGCTGGTCCTCGCGGGGGGGGTTGATGGCCTCGTCCCGCAGGAGCTCCGAGGCAGAGCTGCGCAGACGGGGGTTCTTCTCCAGCGCGCGCTCCAGGAAGCTGCGCATGGCCGGGCTGCAGTCCTCGGCGATGTCCTCCAGGGGCGGGGCCTGCTTGTGGATCTGCGAGGGAGGGAACGCGCCATTGGTCAGCGGCGGGTCAGCCCACGGCGGGGCGGCAGGGTAGCACAGCGGTTAAGGTGCCGGACTTGTAACCGAAAGGTTGCCGGTTCGATTCCCCCCGCTGGGGCACTGCTGCTGTACCCTTGGGCAAGGTACTTAACCCACAATTGCCTCAGTAAATATCCAGCTGTATAAATGGATAACATTGTAAAAAACTGTACCCTATGTAAGTCAGTCTGGATAAGAGTGTCTGCTAAATGCCAATAATGTAATGTAATGTAACATCAGCTTGGTAGTGACAAAAAATAAGGACCTGGAAATCAATAAGCTTGTAGGTGTGTGGTTTAGCAAGGGACTAAACAAGACATGAAGCACTGTATTGAGTTAGTATGCATGCAGTATGGAGAAAACACTGCTTTGTGTTTCCAGGGGTTAACTTTAACAGGAAAGTGTTCCCAATGTGTAGGTGCGTGTGGCTTGTTCAAAAATCACTTCCCCCTTTCTGTGCCACACAAAAGGGTAATGTGTCATTTCATAACTCCGTGATTTTCGGTACATTCTGAAAAGCAGAAGCACCCTTGCCTCTTCAAGTCATGGAAACATGAGGAAAAAAACCTGAACCAAGTCCAACCAATGTTCTACAACAATGAGTAAATTAGGTCAGAGTTCATGTAAAAAAAGGCTAAAACACTAACCAGGGGCAAAAAAGTAATGGAAAAATGTTAAGAATAGAATATGTTAAGAATAAAATGATTCCCATTAAAGTGAAACTGACAAGGAGGCAGGAATTCTGAGACTGAGACACATTTAATCTTCGCTGTTATAAGATTTATCTGAAAAATGTGAGTATCAGCTCTGTCTTCAAGGTTACTTACAAGACTTAAACAAAAGAGCGAGGTTTAAGAAGACCTGACCACAGGAACATATCGACACTTTTAATGACCGTGACTGTTATCTGGCTCCCCACACAGACACACAATCAGAGATTAAAGACAGTGGTAGCGAATTTTTTTCTTGAGTCAGCTGCATACTATTTCTAATGCTAATTTCAGCAAAGTGCAAGATTACACTGATTACGGATGAAAATATTCTACTATACTAGATATCCAATGCTGGTACCTCTGCAATGCTATAATGTACATAGAACAGACACTTTAGGTTACGAGCCCTGCTCCTTACCACTATGCTAGAATGTTGCTCAGTATATATGTACATATTACTACAATGCAAGCTAAAGAAAGCAATTGGAGTAGTGGAAAACGCAGGCTGAACCGGACTTCTAAAGTAAGCACCCATCCCTTTATTGTGATGCAGTGACATGTGTGTCAGAGAAGGAGAGGCCGCAAGAGGACACCTACTATGTAGAGGTAGGAGGGGTAGGCGGAGCGGGGGTATCTCCGCACCCAGGGGGGGCTTCCCGTCTGCATGTGGATGATGGTGGTGCCCAGGCTGTAGATGTCCGCTTTGGTGTTGTGGCCCCTGCACAGAACCACCTCCGGACTCATGTACATCTGCAAAACATTACACGTCACATTACATTACATTGATTTAGACTTCCAGCGCAAAAGTGTATCCATTCAAGCTGAATGAGCAACAGTGTCAGACCAGGCTCACAACACTCCCAGACCAGCGAGTGTGAGCATAACACTGTTCAAGCTCTACCACAAGTTAACCTGTGCAACCTGACTAGAAAAGGGAGGCCAAGTATGCTACCGTACATCAGTCACTAGATCGCAGAATCCAAAACACATCAAGATAATACATGTAAAATAAACAGCGAGTAATACACGGGAAAAAACTTGCGCGCTGTCACACCCGGCACGAGACTCTCACAATGCCCTTCCGTAACGCGTTGTGTCGAGCGTGGCGGCCAGGGGGGAAACGGGGGTTACAGGCTACTGTAGGGTGGCTGCCAAAGGCTGTCGAAAGGCCTTCCAGTACAGGAAGCGATTGGGTAACAGAGGACTTGCTGGAACTGAGCTTGGCCCCGGCTCAGGCGCGCTGTCAACATCTCCTTGCCACCAGTGTACCGTAAGAGAAGGCAGGAGAGGCCAGGACCCTTTGAAACCTGGGCCGTCTGGGCTGTCAAACAAAGCCGCAGCGACCTCTTGCACGGAAATTCCTCCTTTTCCCAGCAAATGGGTATTAAAGACAGCCCTGGATGTTTGTGATCTGCTTGTTATCTCTGTTCGCGACTGGGACTTTCCCCCCTTGTTATCAGGGACACAGCGCCCCCCCCACAAGGGAAAGCCAGCGGGAGGAGAGGAGTTGCGTCTCTGGCTCTCCGGGGATAATGATCGTGTTTGCCGTGGGAAATTTTGTGAGATGGGCCCGAGGTTGTTATTGAGGCTGATCTGCAGGAGACATCACTGCTGGCCGAGATGAATGTGATTACAAACCACATGCCAGCATGATGAGAGGCTCTAAAGGGAAACGCCCGCCACAGGCTAAAAACCCACACTCCACCATGCCTCCAAAAACAATTTTAACCGCCTAGCTGCCCTGAGGTCCCTTGCGACTTCACCTTATGAATCAGGCTGCGTGGCATGCATGCAATCAGAAGACTACATTTCCCATAATGCCTTCATTCAATTCCACTCTGCAGGATGTCACAATGCGGGTGCTCACCTCTGTCCCGCGCAGGTCCCTCGGAGTGTACATGTCCTCTGTCATTTGCACGCTTAGCCCGAAGTCCACTAGGACGGCTTTGTCGGACATCAGCACAATGTTGCTGGCTGAGAAGGAGAATGGAAAGTGGTCAAAAGTGCACCTTAACACAGTCATACCCTCTCAGTGTTATTTCCTGTGTACATAGACAGGTTGATCCATTCATAACAATTCAAATACAAAAATTCAAATGCATTAGTTTGGACTTTTTTGCTCAAATTAGGAATACTGCAGTAGTCAACACTGGAATGAGGAAGGAATTCTTTAAGTACTCAATGTTCTGTCAACCATCTTAAACTATGAATGAAGTTCTTATCCTTAGACAAACTGGAGAGTGTCAGGTGGACTGAAAAAATGTTCCATGTCAACTTTTAAGAAAAAAAAAAAACACAAAACAAACAAAAAAACACACCCAGGAGACACAGCAAGGGCTGTGCAGGTGATCTGAAAACAGGCCGCTTTCACGTTTCATCTTTTAACATCAACTAATCTCACAAACACAGCTGACATCAAAGGCCACAGAGACCTGGCCACAAAGCAACCCTTCGTCATTACTCATTCACTTCTCAGCACCACCCCACGGCTCTTTCCTGCAGGGCTCCGCTGGAATTTCCAGAGGCCTGCGAGCTTTAATTCCAGCCCTGAATTCTTACGCGCTGACAAGAGTCCTGAAGTCTCCAGCGTCTGCCGCACTGACTTCCTGTATGTCAAAACTCTGTTGGGGAACGAGACACACTCCCTTCTTTGCTCGACCCACTGCCACCTCCCTCAGCACTTCCACACTTCAACGGCCTTTAAAACAATTTAAAACAATTTAAAACTGCTGCCTGAACAACATGAGCAGGCAAGTCTTTAGGCTTCACCTCATCTCTCAATCGCGAGAGTCCATGACGGCAGCCAAAAATGTGTGAATTTTACTGGGCTGGATTTCAGCACAGCTGAAACCAGTTAGTGCTGAGAGCACGAGGCTTCACAAATACCATAATGGGTGGAACTGCCGACTGCTGTCACTCACTGACTTGCACGAACCAATCACATCATTCTGCTGTCCATATCAACAACGCTATGATTGGTCCGTTAACCACTGACAACACATGATAGCCCCACCTGTATATGGGGCTTCATGAATTAGTCCAATGCGAGCACATCAAGATTTGTTTTTGTTTAACAGTTTCTGAGATCTAGAAACATATTTTGGCCACAGGTTCGGAGGGAGAAAATGAGCTTAATTTCCAAAGCTGGGAACTGAACCGCGGTCTTCCACTTCACAGCACAGAGACATTACCACATAGAAAAAAGATTCAGACCCCTTCAAGTGGCAGAAACATCCTGCTACAAGCTATTCTTAGTGATGTCTGTTGATCTGAGAGGTTATAATACACATGACAATGAGGGCACTTTTTGACCCCAGGGTGCACCTAGATGTGCAGCACCGCCCCCACCCCACCCCCCGAAAGTGAGGCCGAGGCCTGGGGGCGCTCACGTTTGATGTCGTGGTGGATGATGTTGTGGGAGTGCAGGTAGTCCAGCCCCCGGAGGACCTGCTTGGTGACCCAGATGACCTCGAACTCCCTCATGGGCCCGCAGCTATCCAGCTTCTCCATCACCGAGCCGCCCTCGCCGGCCTCCATGAACAGGTGGATGGTCTGGCCCCACAGCAGGGCGCCGTACAGCTCGGCGATGTTCTCGTGCCGGAAGCGGGCCTGGATCTCCACGTCGGCCGGTTTGAAGTGCTCCAGGGGGATCTGGGAAGCAAGGACACAATAATTTCCCCCGTGATGACGAGTGAAGGAAAGACTGGGAGTCACAGCTGTGTTCCACACTTCTGTTCTTTACTTGTTACATTTACATTTATTCATTTGGCAGACGCTTTTATCCAAAGCAACTTACAAGTGAGGCAGAGTACAACACCAGCAAAAAACCATAAGGAGTCAACAATATTAGAAGCGCTGCAGGACCAGTTTTCAATGGTTGGCCAGAAAAGGTACAAGCTAGCTGATAGAGCTAACGAGTGCATTAAACCATTAGATTACAGTTTTTAATAGTTTAGTAGGGAAAAATTCTGAGACATAAGAACTTCCTTTAGGGGTAGTGTTTCAGGTGGGAAGAGCTGTGTCTTCAGATGTTTCTTGAAGACACTGAATTATCATCCGCCCTATTAGGACTGTGAGCACTGTGACGGTTCTTTTAGCTTTGCTTTAATCAGCTTTTCCTGTTGTGGTCTTTTCTCTCCATTCATCTTTAAAGCAACACTTTACACCTCATCAGACAAAGTCGATCAACAAAGAGTGTGCTGGTTGAGACTTTTCAAAGCGCCCCCCAAATGGCAACATTCACATGTGCTCCTGACTGTCACGAGATGCGATCACGCTCTAATCCAGGAAACCACTCCCATCCTGAATCAAAAAACACTTCTCTCACTATCACACAGACAGAAATACACATGACATACACACAGCT